CTGTCAGCCGCTTGCTCGCCCGCCGCAGGCCGCGGCGGCCCCGCCGGGCCGGGCGGCTGGGTGGGTCGCGGGCCGGGCGGCGAACTTTGAGCCCGCGTTGACGTCCGCGGCCTGGCGCGACGGCCGGCCGGCCGGGCCCCGCTCCGCTCCGGCCTTCCCGCCCGGAGCGCCGTCCGTTGCCCGCGGGCCCCGGAGTGCGGAGCGTGTCAAGTTGAGGCGGCGGCTCGCCGGAGACTCGCGAAGGCCATTGTTGGACTCGGTTCTCCGGGAAACAAGTTCTGTGGGTTTCTGCTCCTTCGCCGCAGAGTCATCGGGATACGCAGAGCCCGGCTTGGAGCGTTTAAACCTCCTTCCGAGCGATTTGCTAACTCCGGTGTTGCGACTCCAGCGCAGACCTGGTCGCGAAAGCCTCCCTGGCGCAAATGCACTAGGGGGGTGGTCCTTCTTTCGGCCGCAAGTACCTCCCTCTTAAAGAAGCCCTCTCGCCGTTCCCTCGGAGGGGCCTCCTCCCGGTCCCACTTGCCCTGATCACAACTTGGACTCTTGGTTGTAGGTGGACGGAATGAGTCCTTGGATGTGCCTGTGTGTCCTGACGTTTCAACCTCGGAGCTTCGTGTAATTTTCTCGGTACTTTACCATTTTCTCTGTGGGTCGGATAGAGCTTTATGTTTTGCTTCTCTGGGAGGGGCGCTTGGGAGTTGTTTCCTTTCATCCTCACAACACTTAATGTTAGTGTGGCTGTTTTGTTAATGTGGAGTTGACTGCGATTTTGTCCTCAAGGTCACGTTGTAGGTAGGCAGCAAGTGGGAAAGAGACTCCAGATTTCCAGCCACTGGAAAGTCTCCGAAGCGGTGGTAGTGGTGGAGCTTTCTTTGCTCTCGGGTTAGACTGCCTGGTTTCAGGTCTCAGCTTCACCACTTTCTAGCCCTGTGACCTTGGGCAGGTTACCCAAACTCCCTGCTCCTTCTGTGATACGGGAATAGCAACAGTGCCTTCCTCCTTAAGTTTGTCGGGAGGAAAGGAGTTAATACGTGTAAAGCAGCTAGAAACGGTGCCTGGCGCGAAGAATACGCTGAATAATTAGTGGCCATTATTAATTTAAATTTGATTTTTAAATGTTTAGATACTATTAGGAAGTCACATGAGTGTTTAAGTCCTGGCTTTTGGTGTCTGTCTTTAGAAAGCTCTGTGTATTTAAGAGTCATTTGGCCTGAGAACCACCCAGGAGAAGGGGTGGTTGAAGATTGATTAAATTACAAACGTTTTTTGGAGTAATTAGTGGTGGTGCCTCGGAATGGTTTAAGAGATGGTTAAATAAAGAAAAGGCCATCGGGAGCTCAAGTCGGATTCTGTTCCTACCGTACTTTTTGGACACTACGTATTGAGTGTGATTGGCCCCCAATAATTCTAGAGTTTCTTAGTGTACTCCTGGGTTCTTATTGAGATTTGAACGGTTGCTGTGTATTGAGATATACTTCAGTGAAGATAGTTTGGGAAATAACTGTGTCCTGGATGGATGTTTTGCATTTCAGTGTGTTTGATCAGAGTCTAGAGTATCTGACAAAATGCCATGCACTCACTCACACGTATATTCACAGTCTTTTGATTCTTGCCCCGTGCTCTTCTGCCTGGTACTTGAAACCATGCTTGCCTTTCCGCTGGAATTACTTGCTTGGGCCTTGGCTTGCTTTGTTGCCCTTGGGGAAGTGTTATTTTGATAGACTTGGTCTTAAGTACAGATGAGCATCTCGCTGGTTTAACTTACTGAGGAACAGGAAGAAGATTGTTTTAGATTAGAAAACTAGCTTTTGTGTAAAGTATAACAAAACAAAAACTTGCTGGTTTCAATTAACTGCTTGGGAATTTGAGAATCAGACCATAAGTGGACAGAAAATGAATAGTGATAAAATTAAGGCTTGACAGGGTGAGGTTTGCTTAGCGTCTTTAAAGTAAATTTTTGTTGATTTGGTCTTGACAGGGTGAGGTTTGCTTAGCGTCTTTAAAGTAAATTTTTGCATTGATTTGGTACAAAGATAATGTGCTTGTTACAGATGAGACATCTTCCTTAAAACAGTATTTGTCAGGATTGGAATTTAGTTTGCTTCTTTGGTAAACTTGTATCTTGGGGTTTTATATTTTGGATATTTGAGACGCAGCCTGAGTGTGTATATTGGTCTAAAATTTTACAATGCCTTATTACCCTTAAGAAGAATGATAGCGAAGTTCTTCTAATCGTCTGCTCAGCTAAAACTCAGCTCTGAGTTTATTTCATAAAAAGCACAAGAGGCTGTGGTTGCTCCTCCTCATACATAAGTCAAGATCTGAGCCCTGGTGTGAGCCGAGGATTGAGCTACTTTTTCTTAGGTGAGATGGATAGAAAAAAATAGACCTGGCCTCTTGGCTTTAAAAAGCTTTCTTATCTCTTTCCTTTCTTAAGAGAACCTCAAATGGTTGGTTTTTGACTTACTCTAGATCAGTGGTTCTCAAGTGGAGGATGATTTTGCCCCAAAAAACATTTGGCAACGTCTGGAGACGTTTTTGCTTGTCACATCTGTGGGGTTGGGCAGTGTACTATTGAATTCTAGAGGGTAGAGACCAGGGATGCTGCTAAACATCCTATGATGCACAAGATGGCAACCCTCTCCCCCCAATAAAAAATTATTCAGCCCCAAATATCAGTGGTGCTGAGGTTGAGAAACCCTGCTCTAGATAGATGGCCTAATCTGGCCTGCATTGGAATCATTTGGATACTTTTTTAGACCATGGGTGATGAACCCCACCTCTAGAAATGTGTGGTGAGAGTGAGAATATGTTTTTAAAAGCTCCTCAAGTAGTACTGAAGTGCAGCTAGGTTTTGGAACCACTCTTCTAGACCACAGATTTTAGGGTCTGCTTGTGGGTCCAGGAATTCTTTGTGTCATCTGTGAGCTCTGCCTATACCTAGATCCTACCTTAGACATTACTTAGTGGGGAAAGATGGTGTACGTACGTTATTTTCAGGTGCTGAACTTTAAAGGAGACTGAACTTAAAAAAAAAAAATTTTAAGTGAATTTATTTTATAAAATAATTGAGAAACTTTTTTTTTTCTGTTGCTTCATGAGAATCTGTTGCCATAGCTGAAACGTAATGCTCTCAGGTGTTTAGGATTGTTTGTGCCTATGCTAAATAACCTTATCCTACTGTGATTTTTGAGTTTTGTATCTTTTGCGCTCATCCTGTCAGTCAGCTGTCAGTTCTGTTTTTAGATGCCAGCTTCATCATTATCTTTTTTTTTTTTTTTTAATGAAAGCCTATTTCCAGAGAGTTAGCCCTGGATTGATTTGCCAATTCTGCCCTTTGAAGGCAAGAGAGAGGCAAACTCTATGCTTATTGTTTAACACAGTGACCCTTGCTTGCTAGCAAAAGGGGATTGCCTGTGCCCTGGACTCTGACCCAAGTGGGTGAGTGTTTTTCCTCCTGGGGAGGTGAGGTACAGTAGAAGAGAGACCGGCAGAGAGCCTTTTCTCACACACACTTAGAATATGGATGATCCAGTTTATTGAGTGGAAGAATGTTAGCATAAAAATTGTACAGATTTTCACCAACCGAATGTTAAAATCTCGACATATAAAAGGAGATCAGGGAGGCACTTTCTAATCCTTCATCCTGAAATCAGGCCTGTGTCTGTGCTGAGAATGACAAGTGACCACTCCTCCTGTCTGCTTCTAGTCGTCATTTATTTGGTCAGCAAATATATTGAATCCTTACTCTGTCAGGAACTGTATTAGGGATTCAGTCATGAACAGGCATTTAAGACTTGCAGTCTATGGGGAGAGGCAGCATTGACAAAAGAGATGTCCTTTTGGCTGTGAGGCCAGAGAACACAGCTTGTTAGACTTGTATGTGGTGTAAATAGCAGACTCTTAATGAGGGGCCCTAGAGACTTGAGAGGAAAGAGCTTGTGTTTGCTGGGTGGGTGGTTGAGATTGCCAGAAGTCTGTTGCCAAAAAATAAAATAGTTACACCTTTGTTTCTCGTATGTATTGAATAGTTACTTCCACTTTCCTGCTTGGTTTGGTGTGTCTAAGCAGTGCCACTCTTCCCATGCTGGTGAAGCTGCTTTGCAGTGACAAATAGGATTGACCTATATTGTCTTTTGCTCCGTAGATGTTGGTTGCAACATCTTGATCAAACTTGAAACACTGACTGTTCCCATACTGATCAGAGGCTTGGTGTAGGTTCATGCTAAACATCTTGAGCATCCTTGAAATCCATGGTGCTTCCAGTGGCAATGGGTTTTTTCCTGCTG